GCTTTTGTAGCACTGTGATTGGAAGATGAGATCATTTATATTCATACCCATAAAAGGTTTTGTACTAAATCTTTATTAATGTCAATGGGTAAGATGTACGTAGCTAGGCTTTGTAGGGCTGTCCATCACTTTGTTTAGTTTAAGTATGTCATTTAACACATGGCTTACAGGTTATTGCTGAAAATAATGGTGCTAAAAAGTTACATTTCCTTAGCTGATGTTAACTTTCAAGTGCATATTGGCCATAGAATGTCAGCAATGTAGGGTGGTGCAGTGGTCAGCATTGCTGTTTCACACTGCTGGGGCCCTGGGTTCAATTCCAGACCTGGGGTGCCATCTGCATAGAGTTTGTACAGTACTGTATGTTCACCCGATGTTTGCTTGGGTTTCCTTCCACAGTCCAAAAACATACGGGGAGTTTAATTGGCTGCTGAGAAAACTGGCCCTGGTGTGAGTGTGTATTTGCGTCTGTGTGTGCTCTGTGATGGACCAGCATCCCATCTCATGTATTCCTACCTTGTGCATGTTGCATGCTGCATGCCGCAGTAGGCTCTGGCTCCCCTGCGACCCTGAATTGGAAGAAGCAGTTAGAAAATGGATGGATGTCAACAATGTTTGCCAGCTGATGCATTTTACTGTACCTCTACAAAATGTCACACAACATCCTTAAACTGTAGACAGTTTAAGGCCTCGTAAGTCTGTCTAGTAAGTCTAGACTGTGGCCTTGCATGATAAAAAATAACTTTGTTAATCAATCGGCGCACTATTGTTTGAGATGTTTACATACTGTATCACAGTGGTTGCTAAAGAACAAAAAATAACAACAGACAAAGCATTATAAATAAGAATTTGCTGCCAACCTTGTATTCCTAGAAACAGAACAAACTGTACAAGTTTTCTCCAATGGTATTTTAGCAATTATCAGAATTCCCAGGTGATTACAGTATATATAATAATGAAGAATTAATTCAATTAAATCTGAAATGCCAACACTGCACAGGTCACGAGTCTCATAAAAGCCCCAAATATTAAGCCCTTGATACTCATTTTCTGTAAGATTGGTTGGGGCTTAGCCTGATGTTGCATGCAATGTTATGCGTTTAAGGGGAGCTTTGTAATAATTTATGATAACAGCAGTTAGAACCTGAAAAGGCCAAAGGGTAAGAGTTCATTGGTGTTTAAGTATTATTGCCCAAGATCCTCTTACAATAATAACAAAGTGTTGGGTTGGCAGGTAATAAAAAGCAGGCCCTCAAAGGGGAAATCTCTGTGCGTTATATGTTCAGATATTTACATTTCCTGTGAGGAAAAGGATTAGCTGTTTTCCCATTAGAAAAAGAAGCAGTGGTCATGGAGCTGCTTACCGTTTGCATAACATCTTGAAGCAGTCAAAACCTGCTCTAATGGGCTGCTTCTGGGTATCTGAACAACTTTTCGGGTGTTCATTTTAAACAGGATGAAAACATCTTCATTAGCAATAGCACTGCCAAGGCAGTAGCTCACTTAGCCATTTTGTCTTTCAAATTGAACTTTAGTAATGTGCATGACAGGAAAAAGTCAAAGCTTTTGAATTGCTGGATTTCATTTGGGAGGACAGGATCTTCATGAGATTTAACATCCTTGGTGGGCCATTTAGATCAAACTATTAGTAAATTACCTAAGGGCTGGACCTCACAACTGCATTTAATTTGGTCGCTTCTCAAGAGTAGTGGTCACAAAATTGAACTGCTTTTAATCACGTTTTTACAAAACAAAGAAAGTTGTTGGCAGTAGAAAGGTAAAATTCCTAATGTAATAGATCAAGCAGTTCTAGACCACAGCTGTGCCTTAAACAAATGTTGCCAGTTCCAAAACTACCCCCTATTTCTCCAGCAAAATCTCCAGGACCACCAGTTTCTCCCTTACAACATTTTTCATACATACTCATTCCTTATTCATTCACTCATTCATTTAGATGAAAAACTATTATTTTTGAAACAGAGATTGCTGGGCTATTGAATTCTATCAGCTCAAATATACTCCTTATTTCAGAATCCATGGTTCATTGTCCAAGTATTTTAATGTTTGCGTGCTCACTGAATCTGTTAATGTTCTCTTGTTATGCCACATTTACAGTATGTGCCCAAGCACTTGCTTTTTTCTTTATTTTGCTTCAAGAATTATTGTTTTTTTTTAAATACATTTATAGTGTGTCCCTCTTAGTTATTACTGGATGTCATCATTGGAAGCATACACAGTCAATTCTTTCTGGAGCAGATAACAGTGTCTAGTTTTTATTTTATATACTTTTTCTCATTTAAGTTATTATAGAGGTCCCCTTTTTAGAAAATATTTCACAAAGGCTGGCACAGTGGATGAGTTGGTACCACCTAAATATTGCTTTCAGGCATTTCATGAATTCTGAAATTGTAACAAATTTTCCAAATAGATGTCTAGTTTTTCCAATAGAAGGTTTAAGCTTGTTTTTTCTACACTAAGAATGTTTTTCTAAGTATCATTCATTCTATATTATACTAATATAATTAAAAAAATATTGCTGAATTTTCAACTTAATGAATGTAAACCTAGTGTGAAAATGTACAAAAATGTAATTCCATATTTTGCTTAAGTACAGTGTACAATATACTTTAGGTATCCATTTTATATTTTCTAAGATCCATGTACCGCTGTTAATTGAGATTTTCAGATACAGTTTTAGGTCCTTTTAGTTCTATTTTTATGAGCACAGTCAGTATAGTATTCCATTAAGCCTTGTGTCCTTGTTTAACCTTGGATCTAAATGGAATCCTGTGTATTTCCTGTTGAGGTTTCAAGACATGTACAAGATGTATTGGGAAGAATGACTGACATGTCAGTACTGAGCAGTCACAGTCTACACAAGCATTCAACACATCTGTGTGTGCTGATAGTGCAGCCTTAATATATTTTGCTTTGTATATGTAACTGTCAGTCATATAAAGTTCACAGCCTCACAGACAGGCTTCTTTTTCCAACACATCAATTAGCTCAGTGCTGACATGTCCTTGTTAAGAATAGCACATTTCTTCATTCTCATCATTCAAGTCAAGAATACAATATATAGTATGTATTTTCTGTGTGATGGTTTTATCTTCACTTACAATTGTAGTTCCCATAAGTATTTTGGGGTTCATAGACTGCATTTCTTTATTTGAACTTTTTACTTGGTAGCTTGCTGGTTCTGTTGTCAGTATTTGTAGTTTAAGTATTTGTTTTTAAATGCCCTGTGCTTTAACTAAGTAAGGGCACCTCCTTGATAAAAGTAGACATAACAATAGATATAACACATAGCAGAGAGAAAACTATTTCAGATCTGTTCTTTCCTTTAGTTGTTTCTTGATGTTTGCATATATTTTTACAATTCTGTCTGTGTAATACTCCCTTCTTACTGTCTAATGAGCTGTTTTCTGTTTTAAATATCTTTACAAAACTAGATCCTGGGAAAGACTATGCACAGCTTACTGCAAGAGAAAATGTCAATTAATATAATAATAATAATAACATCACTTTATTAACCCTTTACAATTTCTTGCATTAGGAATTATCTTTTTGCATACCCCAGCTTGCTCTCCATGAGACACACAGACAGGGAGAGAGCCTGGGGTCAGAGCGCAGGGTCAGCCATTGTACAGCACCCCTGAAACAGTTGGGGTTAAGGGCCTTGCCCAGGAGCCCAACAGAGTAGGATTCCTCTGCCTTCTAGCCAACTTTCTATTCTCTTAAGAAAATATGAAAGGTTATAAAAAACCCTTTGAGGAGTCCCTTCAGGCCAGGTTCTCTTCTAATTTAAATTCTAGCTTGTTTTATGACTTGTTAAATAAGAACTCTCAATCTCATCAAGAACACACATGGGCTCCACTATACTGTATATAAATACTGTATCTCTGTAGCTGCGTGCATCCCCAAGAAATATGTACATATTGGTTCAATGAGGACATATAGTGGCATATCCCACCCCAGCAAAACCCATCTGTGGTGCCAAACAAGTATGGCAAGCTATAATTGGTGAAAAAGCCATACTGGGCTATAAAATACTATTTTGAGACAAAACTATTGAGATCACAACAAAAATGATGAAACATTTACATTGACCAGTTGTTGATAAAATGTTTATTACAGTGGATTTTGGGGATGTGAAGTTGGAAGGATAAAGCGACGCTGATTTTTGATTTTTGATTTTTGAAAGCGACGCCGACGCATGATTTTTGAAAGGGCCAAAATGTTTGTGCCACAGTAGTTTTGGACAATTTATGGGAGTGTGTCTGAAAGCATGTAAGAGTGTGTCAAGTAAGTAGTGAAATGTGGTCTCAGGACATATGGAGTTCTATGTAGCAGCAGCCAATTGTAGGGGGATAGAATTGCTGGTCGAGAGAAAAAACATGATGTAAGACAATAGAAAACCAAGTTCTTTTAAAATCTATCCACGTAGATTTGCTGACAGGGGCTATGGTGGCTCACATAATTGGCACAGTGCCTGGCGCCCACAATCGCCAAGTGACTTGAGGCCAGAATGGCCTCAAAGTGTAAATCTACATGGGGCCCACAAGGTCTGCCAATTATGGTCTGATATTTCAACCCATCTGGGGCAGTTGCCAGTCCAATGTGGTCATTTCTGTTTGGCTGGAAAAGGTGCTGTTAAATGTTGCTTTGCTCCTTTTAACCATTTTATTCAAGAGCACAGCTTTACAAAGTTAATGGCGAAGGATCCCCTGGCCTATGATATTATTACTAATATCGTATTCAGCCAAGAGCTGCCACTTATTCTCAGATTCAGACAGAAATACAATGATGACATTCCTACGCTACAGATTAACTGTTAATCTAATAATTTTTTACAGACATGACAAAAATGTTTGCAAAGTATTTATTCTAGTCTTAAATAATTCACCCTGTGTGAATATATACTGTATATGTCAACACCCCACAGATATATTAATGGTTTAGTCCTATTCCCTAGAAACAAACTATGATAAGTCAATACAAATGGTTAAATCATGAAATGTTTATTTTAATGTTTATGATATTTCTGAAGTGCAATAACTGATTCCAGGATTCTTGCAAGGATACTTATTTACAATACATTTCTCATGCCACATTCTTTCTGTCCATATTAATACATTAAAAGTGTGAGCTTTTAAGTCACAGATGCAAATATGAAACAACAGCCCAAGCCTTAAGCCTCAAAGACGAATGCCCCACATTAAGTATAGTAAGTGTAAAATGCACATTTTAAACATGTATAAGATCAAATTTTGTTTTTTTAAGAAAACCTTTATTTGTCTTTGCTAATTTACATGTATCAATTTAAACTTTTTAAAATCATTTAAAGTGCATTAATGATTAGTGTGATCAAACTTTAATTTTTCCATCTCCTTTCGAATGGTGAATAAAAAAATCTACAACCAGGAAGCAATGCCATGCTCTTGTTTTACAATCCAGATGCCGTCAATCACCTTGCCATTCTGAAAGAGAATCATTGTAAGAGACTTTCTTTAATTTCTAAACCATGAAAATGATAGCTCTGAGACTATGTGGTTTCTATCACTGTATTCAAAAAGCAATATCATATTTAAAGAAATGATTCTGTAAAAGAGCTTAGAATGGCTGAGTATACTGATATATTCTGTATCCTAGTAGCACAAGAGATAGTTTTGCAGATTCATCTTGTTTTGCTTTTATGTTACTAAAGCTTACCTAATTCAAGATTCATTTATCTAGCTCAAACTAGCCTCAAGATTTAGAGCTGTTGAAGACTTCTTACTTGGTCATCTGAGACCTGCTCCAGGTAGATGTGTGTGGAATTGAGGACTTGCATTCTTGTGTACCCATAGTCTGTGCTCCTGAATGCACTCCAGTCTCGTGGCTTTGGAATGAATCCATCATGTTTCTCACGGCATCCCTGGGAAACAATGCAAACAGTCATAGATTCACAGTATGTGGCCTCCAAGCCTCTGTTTTAAGTTATGGATTTTCAGTTGCATCAATATGATTTTGACATTGTGTTTCTCAAGAGACTGTGGTTCATTGTCTTACATTTTTGATGAATTGCAATGAAAATGTCCTTTTAATGAGGACACTTTGATATGGGAAGCACGATACTATTGCGGTCGGGAGCTTTCTAATTTTCACTACTACATATTTAGAGACTGCAGTCATGAATTAGGCTGTTATATTTCATGAAAATTGAGGTATTTCAGTGATTTGATGTTAGAGAGAACTCTTTCTGACATGATATTTAATGATGGTTCAATTGAAAACCCAGCAGAAAATAAAATTCTTATGTGTGTCTTCATACATTTTGAGATAAAACGTTATTGTTACTGTAACATACAAGCCACAGCCAAAGTGTCAAAATTAGATTAAGGAGCCGGGGGGGGGGGGTTATCAAGACATTCTAGATACATGATGCATAATATGAATGTACACAAGGTTATTAGGGAATTAACATCGCTAGTTGGGAGTAGGGTTCAGTAAGGGTTGAATAAGTCTATGACGGGGTCGGTTCAGGTTTGGACTAGACCCTCACTGTCAGGGGGACAGAAAGAAATGGAGTCTCGTGTAGAAACTCCTGAGTGAATGAAAAATCAAAACCCTGGAAGGGGGCTGGTTTCAGCAGCAATCCCAGAGTGGACTGGGAAATTTAGAATCTCGCTGTGAGGCTTCTGTCTAACTGAGTCTAAAGGAGAGTCCCATATACTGTATGCATGATGCACGTATGGTGAGACTCCATTGTACAATGACAGAGTCTTGTGGTGGTCTCACGGGGGGACTGTGATCAATAGAACCTGACAGTGGGGTTCTAAGTTCTTGCAGGCTTGAGGTGAGGCTGCTGGTTACATTACTAGGCTGAAAAGGAGACCTCACTGTGCAGGTTATTAGTCTCACAGTGATACTTTACGTTGTAAGGTTATGGAGAGCAGAGTAAGTCTTTCAATAAGTAGTAGCCTCAATCATTTCTATACCAGCCCATTGGTAAGAGGGAAGAAAGTGAAGAGCTGACCGGCCAAAAGGGATGGACCAAGCTGAGGAAGGTGCTCACTGCTACTACAGTACTTGTAGGGAGAAGTAGTTTAAAAGTACAGTGTCAGTACAGTTCAGGCCCAACAATTCAAGGGGAATCTGCCAGTTATGTAAATACAATTAATTTCAGACCTGATTAAGAAATGAATGATAATGAGTACTGGTTAAACTACAAGTGATAGAATGAAAGGAGCTGCCATTATTTGGTCCTTGTCTGGCAGCAATACTTACGGCTGACCCTGTAATAATGTGCACTGGGGCCTTTGGGTTGACATAAGGTTCTTCTCTGCTTCCATTGAAGACCTTGTAGAAAATGAAAGAACTGGTTTGTGTTTGTATTTTAATCAAACAAATCTAAGCTTGTTTAGAAGGCATCAATGCAATCCAATGGTTGAGGCTGTTTTTTGTGAGGGGTAAAATGTAATTAGGTACCTTCAGTTTTTTACCAGTCCACAAGTGGTGGAATTTACCCCAAAAAACCACACACATGAGGATAAACACACTTAAATAATATTTTGTTTTTTTGTGTGTTTCCAAACACTTGGAACATTTTTATTCTAACCACTGAAGTACTGTAGGTGATTTGTTTAACCAAATAGGTCAGAGCTCATTTGAAATATAAACGGTAACACCCTTTAGCTTTCAAGGACTACAGCTGGCCATTCTAGAACATACTAAGGAGAATACCTTGGCCAGCACTAGGTCTCCCAATGCTGGAGGTACTTAGCTAATTGCTACCACTTGTTGGAGAATCCCAGTCCCAGCTGACTAGTGATATAGCCAAGATGTATAATTATAGTCTGCTAGAATGCTAAACTTACTGGACTACAATATTCATCCTACAGGTATTTTCCAAATGTATACCAGTACCAACCACTCAGAAGGCCTGTCATTCATCTAACATTATACAGTATATATGCATTTTATTACTTTTATTCTATGCATTCGTTTATGCCATCATTACATCCTTATCCAACTGTTCTTATCCATTCACTTTACTAATTTCAGTATAAGGTTTTATTCCTCATAGGAAAATATCTTTACCTTGAATCCATACACAGGCCACAGTCTTTCATAGGTGTGCTCATGTGCCCACAACTCTAAATCAACCCCTGAAAGATGAAAATTGGAACGTAGGTGTCTGACTGTGACAAATTTATAATAACAAATACATAATTATAACAATAGAGATGTGATAACATGATGTAACTGTATTTCAGCTAGGCTCCATCATGCTATTGTTATTCTTTATAGTTTAAAGATGGCAAAACTTTTGAAATAAAAATAAATACACAATAAGAAAGAGTCAAGGCTGTGACGGTACTGTATCCTTATTCTTTTGAGATGCTGACATAATTCTGAAAAACAAAGCCCCTCTCCCTTATCACATTAAACATAGACATACACTAAATAATAAACTCTTTCACTTATTGTTTCAACATGAATGTTGATTTTAAAAATGATATGTTCCATAAGATGAAATATGCTTGCGATCAGCAGCAAAAATAAATCAGCCCGCTTTACAAATACATCCTCTGGCATAGGTCCTAACAAGATGTTATTTAAGCAGTCATAAACCACAATTAACTAGAATCAAAGAGGCATTAAGCAAAATGTATTTACTTAACAGCTTAATTTACATTTTATAATGAAATAATAGAATAATGTTGACTTTCCTCAGAGAGTATGAGTTTTAAAATTGGCTAAGGTCTGAAAGACCTAATGCAATGAAAAATGAAACACTACATAAGGGAAAATATTAATTTTGGAACTACTAATAATATTCAAGCTGATGTACCAGCACAAATACCTGCTTTTCATCAAGACCTTGCTATATTAATAATGGGGATTTATCATTAGGTTTTTGGCTGTAGCAATGCAGTCAAAATCAATTGAATCTCAATTGATGCACGTATCTATTGGTGTTAAACATATCATAGCCAAGACATTTTACCAAAAAGGTAGAAAAGATTTTCCAGGCCTGGGGCTGGAGGCTTGGTGTCATTACGTCCAAGTCGAACCTGGAACAAAACAAACCATTTGGAATAATCAAAGTTGAAATGGCATCTGGCATCACGCTCATCAACCAGCATAAACCTGTCAAATAAGTCACGTACTAAAGATTTCAGTAAAAGAAACAAATGGAAACTATTTTGTTGAACTGTGTGTTTTACAGATCTTAAATATTTATTGAATGCATAGCAAAAACCACTCTAGGCCATATGTTATTGTAAACTGTAAGACATTTTAGCCAATATTTATAGTTGTCTAATACTGGATCAGGTAAAAGACTGTATTTTATTATATTAAAATCTACTGTCAGCACTAAAAAGATCAAAAGGTGGCATAAAATGTCAAGATGTCTGCAGAACACATATGTAGAATCTCTAGTTAACCTTATGATGACAATAAGTAGGTCATAAAATACATATTTTAGGGCCAACTACACAGAGCTGCCATAAACATAAACAGTGGAAGAACTGTTTCTCCACCTGACAGAATTCAGGGAACTGGTACAAAAAGGAAGTGCTTAGGTTTTTTTCACAAACATCTGTAATTTGTTTTGTGCAGTAACACAAATATATTTCTTATCCAGACAGAACTTGTGTGTTGTGTGACCAAGAAAATGTAATCAAAGCTTTCCGTCTCACTACTCTAAGAGTGCTATTTGAGTGCTTAAAGAGTGAATGAGAGTTGTTATGATACAAGAATGTGAAATTATGACTTTCTGTAGAGGAGTTGAAGGTCAGAAGAGTATAGTTGAAGTTTTACAGGATCTGGGTCGTCTATGAAATGATGAAGGGTAGTAATTCTGCTGCTGAGTCGTGCTTTGCTGGTGCCAGTTTTAAACAACTTAATGCTGTCTAGCACTACAATCTTGTTCACATTTGGAGCCTATTCATTTAACTGTCAAAGCAACTTGATAAATGCATTTGAACTTGAACATGTTTAAATCTCCAAAAAAGAGGTTAATCGTTATTTCCTTATAATATATATTAACAAGGAAATAATAGTAAAGAATTCTTGGCAATACTGTTTTTAATTTATTTGAGACCTACATAAAATCTTAAGTTAGTGAGATCTGATTAGTGGATGGGCTATTTTGTGGATTCAGTTGTAGTTAAACCCTATTAAAGGGAGAGAAAAGGAATGATTCCAACATTGATCTTAATTTGGGGTAAATCTCTTGGCTGACCCCAAATTAAGATTACTACCTGAATCACTCATAAGGAAGATGTTATCAGAACAGCCCTTTTAACAAGGCATAAACATGCAAGAAGCATGATCTTTATACACATTTAGGTAAAAGTGTCTAGGATTAGATATTGTTTTAAATTTTGTTTGGTCAAACACTAGTAAAAGCAGAGAATGGGTGTGATTTGAATATTGAGCTTTATTGGAGTAACTCAACTGGGTGAGAAGAACAACAACAGAACCCCCAAAAGAAATGAGAGACACCATAATACCAATACAGAATTCTTAAATTCTAAAAATTAAGATGCTTGGCATGATAGTGCAGCAAACGTTTATAGTAACCTAAGGGATAATATGCATAACTGTCATAGACGTTCAAAGGGACTAACCGTGGGGAGCAGGAGAGCAGAAAAAGACCCATATGCGTAGCGGCGAGACGGGAAAAAGGCCCGGGCTCATAGTGCAAAGAGTTCAGGATTGCCGTATAGAAACCTATGCCCTCAGGGAGCGGACGTGGGGCGCCCTGGTGCTAGGCGGGTCTCAGGACATCCGAACGTCACTGCTGAGCCAGGACAGAGTGCAAGACCCGGAAATATATAGCCCAAGGGAAAGAGAGGGACAGGAAGGACAGCAGACCGGAAACTAGGGACAGGACAGAGAAGGAGCGCCCTCTGGCTGCAGAGGGCGTGACAATAACATAGCTTAAACACAGTTTGAAAGATTTCATTGAAATAGAGCTGAAATGATGAAAAGTGTCTTAATGAAGCCAAGATTGGCTTAAGGCAAGAAAGCGTGAAAATTTAGAATGAAGGAAGATCATTAGAGACACAAAAGAGTGAAATTCCCCCAATGTTTTCTCCATTCTAAAGGGAAACTAGATGTCCAAAAAATTGGAATCAAGGTTGAATGAACTCTAGTTGGGAAAGATTCAACGAGAGAAAGTCATCCCCAAAATGAAGGATAGTGGAGGACTTTTAAATGGAGGAAGGTGTAGAAGAGGGCTCCTGAAAGTGTTGAAAAAGCTTCTTGGGCAGGTATGCGTCAAAAGTAAGATGGACTTTGAATAATACTCATTTTGCCTGCACACTCTACAAAGTGCTTAAGGTTTAGGGTCAATAGGCATGAATCTAAGGGCATGATTACAGCTGTGATGCGATAAGCATACTGTACTGTCAGGCTGCTTCAATCAGGTATAGAGTGGTCAAAAATTGCGTAGCACAGAGGAAAGGAGAATTAGGGAGCAGAATTGTTAATGCTGGGAGCATCAAGTTGAGAGAGATTGATGATGAGGGACGTCTAACCAGAATACTGTATGTGAGCGTGGCTAGATTTAGAGGGTTAATCCTGTAGTGAGCAAAGGTTGGAGTGAAAAAAAGGGTGTAGGGAAAGCAGGGATCAGTTAATGGATAGACTCCTGCAGAACAGGAGAAGAAATGCATGATGTTTCCATTGATGTAGGCAGGTGTCAGCTTGAATCAAATGTAGAAGTGAAGGCCTGGAGCTGAGAGTTGCACAATGGATTCATTGACGCAGACTGGTTGCAGTCCAAGCCATAGGTAAAGGTTCAGAATTGGAGTCAAGAAAACAGGTATCCAAAGAGAGGCAGAAATTCAGGGGAAAAAGCCTGAGCCTCAGGCTCCCAGACCACCAGGGCTACAAGTGGAATAGTTCAGGGGAGAATGTTGGAGGCTGACACTGCACCCAATTGGACATTTGCTGGGGGGAGTTAGAACAGAACCCATTGCCACCACTGCTTGAACAAGAAGCTTCTCATCAGACTGATGGTATAAACAAAGTCCCACAGAGGTATTCGTGGAAAAATAACTTACATAGCTTTCAAACTTGGTGCAGTCATCTTTGTCATCATTGGAGCAATACATCGGCCTGTGTGCCATGGTTATGATCCAAGGACGAATTTTCCTGTTCTCTGGTTTGTTAGCCTCCTAGAAAATTGTTATGAAAACCACAGCAAATTACACAATGTAACATAAACTTTTGTACAATGTACGCTTTATTCATGAGTAAATGTTTCTTAGTGGATTTCTCACACCTGTAATTTACACTCACAGTGTTTCTTTTTGAGCAGAATAATAATAAAGACTTAACAGTGGCATAGCAACCAATAAACAACTAAAACGTCATACTGTTATTTGGCAAGAGCTGAAAATGTGGAATTTCAATAATAAAATGAATACATTGAGGTTTAAAATTGAAACAATCTCCACCTCCAAGTCTTTTTTCAGCCACTTATACTGGCTGAAAATTAAGTCCAGTCCATATTCTAGATAGAAGTACACTTCAGTTGAAAAGGAGATGATGTGAGCGGGTCCTATGTTCCAGCTGTGGAGAAAAATTCATAGATGAATAAGCTTAAGAACGAATACATTGAAAGCATTCATATTCAGATAAAGATAACTTTGTGTTTAATTATCCATTCCTACATTTACAATTTCTCCCAAAATAAAATCCCAAAGTAGGTTCATGAATGAAGACCTTTTTTATAGAGTGATACATTTGGCCAATTTGTTTTCTAGCCATTTAGTCATTTAAATGACGGGCAAACCGGTGGCTCTGTGGCTAAGGATCTGCACCTGTGGCTAGAAGGTTGCCGGTTCAAATCATGTGGCTGACAGAGGAATCCAACTCCACTGGGCCCCTGAGCAAGACCCTTAACCCCAGCTGCTCCAGGGGTGCAGTATACCGTAAATGGCTGACCCTGCAAGCTTCTTTCTCCCCGTCTGTGTGCCTGTGTGTCTCATGGAGAGCAAGCTAGGGTATGTGAAAAAACTAATTCCTAATGCAAGAAATTGTATATGGCTAATAAAGTGATTTCTCTTAACATGGACGTTAAAAAAATACTATTAAACATTTAGTGATATCAGGTGTAAGCCTTGTAGTTTTAAAGGCTTTTAAGGGTTTGTTTTAAGAAGAATGGACATAAACATAATACACTCTTATCAAGTCTGAGTTATAAATCTTGCAAGAATAAACAGGTTCAAAAGTTTATAAGAACAGCAAATTACAGAATAAACCTATCATAAACACAAGAAGAAAGAGGTGCAACAGAAGATACATGTTCATTCTAAAATGGAACAGACACAGATACTAATTAAATAAAAGGTTTTCTGAAACAAAAAGGTTTTGAGTCTGGATTTAAATGCACTCATGGTAGGTGACTCTCTGATATCCTTGTGGATAGAATTACAAGCTTTGGGGCATAACAGGAGAAGGCCCTGTCACCATTGACATACAGTACAGTAGAGAAGACCAGAATCAGACAAATGAAGGTTGCAAGGTTCGGGAATAAAGAGATAATAAGTCAGACACTGTATGTACTGAGGGGACAACCCAAATAGAGCATGGGGATTTTGAAGTTAACTTGAAACCCGATAGGAAGCCAGTGCAAGGATTCCAAGACAGATGTAATGTGATCACCTGTACCTGTACGAGTTGGTCAGGATATTGACCTTTCTTATGTTGTACAATCCCAGATAACATACACACTGTTATTCTTCATATACTGTATATATACTAAACCCCATGCTTGAGCCACATTTTGAAAACTAATGTGAGAAATGCTAGAAGTGAGGTATCATACAGTTGTTTTACAGCTCACACTGATTCAGAAACAAGGCTTCTTGATGAAAACTGAAAAATTCCTGACTTGTTTGTTCCTGTTTACTATTCTTAGACTTGCTTGCAAGAGACAAATATAGAAAGTAAAAGACCCAGAGTTTCTAAATTGTAGTGGGAAAGAAAGAGAATGTGAAAAGCCATTCACTGCTCACTTAGGAAAGGATAAGGCCCGAGAAGGGGAGCACAGGAGGACACAAAGTGGAAAGTGAGCTCTTAGGAATTTAATTCCTGTCATCTGCTCTGAAGGGTGGTACTCAATCACTTTAACAATGCTCATGCTAAGCGTAAGGGCAAAACATCTCGGAGGTCTGGAAAATCACACAAAATTGATTGAGAGCTGAGAGCAATAAGCAGCCTGACAAGTTTTTTTGGTGCCCAGCAGTGTGTAAAGGATCTGCTGTCTGCACAGGCCGGCAACATGCCACAGCTCTTCAGAACTTTGATGAATTAGCTTTTAATTCCACAGCATCCTGACTGGGGCAAGCGCTGCAATTCTGTGGTCAAGCTGTTCCTAGCTGGACCCTTTTCTGATGTACTGTATCACCTTACACCCAGCACCAGGTGGAAGAAAAAGTATAGTATTCTGCTTCACTAGAACTTGGATTTCATCTCCATCTGCTGTCACTTCCCCTGTGTCTAAACAAGAGTAATGCCATCAAAAAGCAAAGCTTCAGCCCAACATTTCACCCAATATTTCTTTTTTCCTCTTCTTTTTTTAAACTTGACCATGAAAGAGCTTATTTGTTCAGCTACAAATATGTATATATAGCCTTTCCTTTCCAAATAAAAAGAAACCAAAAAGTGCTTGCCCATTGAATGCATATATAGGTTCCTTCTTCCCAGTGACTATGTTGTGTGTGCTCAGCTGAATCTCAGCATGGGTATTTTCCATTAAGACTGACAGGAAAGGGATCTCTTGGGTGTTGGGTTGAGAAAACAACCTCTCGGGTGTTTTCCTACCTGTACCAAAGGCTCTCAGTGTCTCCAGGCATGCTGAAACGGTTCTTGTAGTTGGAAAAATTGCTGTAAAAACATCAGAGTAAAGCTGTTGAAATGTATAGGCCATCAAATCGCATGCCCATAATTTCTTAGCTAATTAGCAACAGAAAAATGTTTTTCCTTACTGACACCAGAATAGGAAAACGGATCCTGTGCTACTGCTGAACAGGTTGTGTCTAGCCCTCATACTTACAGTATGAGGGAGGATGGAACCCACCAATTATATTGCTTGCAAAGATATATGATAAAAATAAAACAAAACATGGCCTGGGAGTACATTTGAAATGTAAATCTAGGCAAACTGTAAATAAAAAGAAAGAATGCTCTAAAAGTAACATAGAAAGGTTATAAACAAGAGGAGGTCATTCACCACAGGTAGCACGTTAGCTAGTAGCTAACTGATCCAGCCCATTCTTAAAAGAAACAGAGGTATAGCTTCCACCAATGGCTAGGTGTTTGTTCCAAACACCCACAACCCTCTCAGTTTAAATGTATTTTCTCAGGGTTTCCACTTGTGTTCACTGGTTCATATTTTCATTTTTACTCTGAAAAAGTCCATTGGGTTGGCTGTGTCAGTGGTTTTTAAGGATTTTGAATAATCTTCACTGTTCAACACCAAAAAGAAAATCTATTATTTTAGTCTGTCAGTGTAAGATATTGTTTTAAGCCCTGAAATGTATTTGATTGTTTTGAACTGAATCTGAACTGACTGCAGAAAAGCAATATTGTTTTTGTAATGTGGTGATTAAAATTATGCACACTACTCTGAACGAGATCTTACTAGTGGATTGTACAATTATAATGTAAAACTCTTGATTTAAAATCTATACTTTTGAATATACATCCCACAACTCTATTTGTTTTCTTATTGCTTCTTCACAGCATCTATAAGATGTATATGATTTGATAATACACGGTACCTTTCAAAAGTATTTGAATACAATTTCTTAAACATAAAATCACAATATTACCATACTTACTCACCATTTATTTTCCATAGTTTCCATTTTAAAAGTAATCAGCCTGAATCACTGCTAAGACCCTCACACTAATGAGAGTGATGAGAAACATGCCCTTAACTCATCAGATTTATCCACCATTTTGCATGCTGGGGTCCCACAGTGTCCAGGATCAATGTACAGTAAACTAGAAAAATAACAAACTCTCATTGGCAGTGCTGCCAAACACACGGATACTTTGCAAGTCGTGGGGCTTGTTGTTACACGGAAAGCTGAGAATGCCATAGCTAAATCAATCCCATCTGACCCTAGTGACACTTGACCACTACCACTTAGAGAACCCCCTTCACAGTTGGCTGACATCACAGCCAGGACATGAGCTATCAATGTCAGATTTTAGAGCTCTAACTGTGCTATAAACTGATGGAGCTGTTTGAGAGCTCCTGTTTTAAGACAATTAAAACATACCGTCAGCAACAGTATTATCCAAATGTTCTTTTTAAATACTGTATAAATGAATCAACAGTTTTACTAACACAAACTACTAAAAGTGAAATATTTCATCTGCATAAAATAACCTAATGGTACAGTACTTATTATTGCATGTTTGAGCCTGCAGTCTACTGGGGCTTTGAATATTAATAGCTTTCTTTAAGCCAACAAGACATTAGGGACTGATACAGATCTCTGAATAATAAAAGATGGTCTTCATAAATACTGGAGATGTTAAGTTCCAAAGAAAGTGCTTTTGCCAGAGAACTATCTGCAGTCTAAACACACAGACTACTCCAGACAGGATGCAAGGTGAGGTAAATATAACACAGGTATTTCCTGCCTATACAGTTACTGATTTATAAAATGCCTGCGCATTTGTCACCACTTTCAGCCAAAAAACACAGAACAGGGTGCCTTTACAAATTGCCCCCACTTATGGTTCCTGCATAAAGCAGTAGTTTGGGTTGGAGACCATTCTTCTCTTCTAACACACGTGCTATTTTAAAAATATTTTCATTGGCAGACTGGATGTTGACACACTGCATGCAAAAGGGAAAATCTTTTGTTTGAAAGTTAACAATAGATTTTTCCATCTTCATAGTTTCCTTGCAATTTCCAATTTTTTTATTTTTTTAATTTTATTTTCAATCCACTGATCCAATGTTAAAAAAGTGTATGGCTTTCTAAATTAGGCTCAACAATTTAAGCGTTTAAGCGTGTGTTTAAGGGGGATAAGTGGTAGTGTACAGTATTTCTTTTGGTCATTTCACAAGCAGCACAACATGCTCTTTATTTAATGTGCCATTACAACAGTAACATAAAACATAACAAAGGTTACAAATAAGAGGAGGCTATTCAGCCCACCATGGTACTGTATTTAGTAGGTAATTGATCAAGGACTGAATACAGTTGTTTAGTGAAAGAAGCCAGGGATTTGGCTTCAATAATGTGGTTGGGTAGTTTGTCCCATGCTCTCACAATCCTTTGCGTAAAGAAGTGCCTCCTCAGTTTTAAATGCATTGCCCAAGGGTTTGCACTTTTTTCCTTTGTTAGGTGTCCTTTGGTTTGACTTTGTCAGTACATTTGAGGAATTAGAATACTTACACTGCTCTCTTCGAGCTCAATACACAGTATTCTAAGTGAGGTCTTACTAGCGCATTTTACTATTTTAATGTAACATAGATGTCTTAACATTTAAAATATCTTAACATTTTGTTTGCCTTTTGTATTAATACCTCATATTGTCTAAAATATGTAAATGATGTCAACATAAACACATTGTGTTAATTTATTTTGTTTTATTTCATACAATTATTTTGACTTTATTGTTTTATTACAGTAATTTATTTAAGGTTAGATTTGGCTTTAACTAAGGTCCTGACATTGGAATGCACTGGCATGTTGTGGGGAATCAAGTTTAGAGCCAAGACATGTTGTAAATGTTCCCCGTGATATTTCCTTTTCTAATGCTTTGATTAGTCTCTTTAAAGCTATTATTTGCTAGAAAAGACAGCATGGCAGATAAAACTCTTAACATAAACCAGAAATAATCAGAAAGCATGAAATGAAATGTTGACTAAGAATTAAATTAAATAAAGAAAAGATGTAGATGGTATAAATTACTCTCATTGCATACCAGTATAAACTGTTAAATTGGCAGTCCACATGTTTCTGTGTTTTCCTTTAAACATATTAGTATAGAACTTTAAAATAATAAAATAATAATAATTATTATTATATAATATAAAATAAAGTAATACAAATCTTCATTAAACCATTAAGTCCACAACAGTAGTGAAATGGAGAAAATGACAAGTGTGATAATAATTCAACATTACCACTTACGTATAAATCTATATGTAGTGACTTATAAGGAACCAAAACATTGACTTTAAGTATCTAATTTATATATACTGTATGAACACCAGTGTGCTTTTGTTTCCAGTTTGAAAGCATGCAGGTACTTTATATTCCACCCTTGACACAACTTGCAGTTACAGTAAGTGAAAGTTGGCTTCCTATACCTCAAAACCTCTGTGGTAGGTACTGAATGTAAAGCTTATATACAGCTAGGACAGGAATTGCAGGTTCATACTACCATCTTGTGGTTAAGTAATTATATTCTCCATTAATAAAGTAAAAGAGTTGCCTGACATGAGAATCAGCAGTCCATGAGTAAAATATTTAATTGTTAAAGTAAATACATTTTATTTTATATTTGCAATGTGAAATTCATATGTCATCTATACAAGGTGTAGACCATTTTTTTAAAATGCATCAAAAGACTATAATACCTTCCACAATAGTAAGCATTTAATGGCTAAGCAAGAAGATCATTACAACAAACAGGTAGAATTAAGTGTACCTGCCTTTGTAATAAGGAAGCCAAAGTGGGCTTAGAGACAAAAAGCAGATAAAAGAATGTGTAATTCCTCTCATCTCCAAGACTGAGAGCCTGATTATAGACTATAAAAACAATTAAATTAATATTTGTGTTTGATAGATACAGTGCTTTGCTGAGTGCTTTGTGTCATCCCCGCTTATTTTCTCCTTAACAAAATGTAATTTAAAGAAAAAAGTGGAATGTTTTCTTTTTTTAAAAAAAAGCACAAATATTTGTTGTTAGCAAAACAAATGGCAAAACCTGGCAATACTAGTTACACAAGATTTAATTTTTTCTTTTCCTTGTAAAGACCATACTGTACCTAAACAGCAATTACCAATAAATCAAAGTATATTGTAATTAGAAGGAAATATTAGCAATTCAAAAGATGTCCAAATAATACACTGAGGAATCAAATATCTTTTCCCCTACTTCTGTAGAATATACTGTAAGAGAAGTTATAAACCAGTGGAAGCCCTTCAGTTCAATGTAAATTAGCAATGTACATGAAAATGGAAACAGCTAAACTGAGCAAATAGAGTAATGTTTATGGTATGAGTATATCAGAAAGCAATAGTGAAGTTAAGAAGTCCCCTGTAGCATTTTATCTTCCGCAATATATTCCCCAAACCCAGCTTACATAGTCAGTATACCACTTCAGATATGACCTAGGCATGTAGCAACCATCAGTGCTATAGAAAGAAAATCCAGTCATGCAAAAATATCCCTACTTTAGCTTCACTAGTCTGGTGTAAAAGATTTCAACAGTTTGAAAGTATCCTGTTTGTGTGCAGTATTTAAGTTTACAAGACATTTACATAGCTTTTTATTGTTTTAGCCCCCTGGTAGACCCTAACAGCTTGTTATTGTTTCATGTTTCATTTCATTTTTGGTTAAAAATCTATTAAATCAAGAGTATGAAGGCTAAGGTAACATTTCCATAAGCTTGGCCCAGATGTCAGTGTTTCATTTAATGTTCATAATTTTACATTATTTTCATTACTCCAAAATAACAGTACAGACTGGCATCCTTTTACATTGTCTGAATAATGATGCCAAATACAATGTCCCAGAATAGAGATTGGGCCGATACAACTATTGTATCTCGTAACACAGTCTGACACTTTAGGTATATCAGGAACTACAATAACTTTCTCTTCAAACCTTAGAATCCTACTTTCGTTCAA